GATATATGCAATATTACTGGATCTTATTCTTATCAAAATTTTCTTCATAAAAATGTATGTACCCTACGTGGTAAACTCTTGTCCATAAGTTAATGGAATGTAGACTATAATGTTGATAACAAATCCTATCAAAATACACCCCAAACAATCTGGCAAGTCAGGATGTATATAAAGGTTCTCAATATAGTAATAATTTCCCTACAGTGTCTACTAGGGAGCCACAGTGGGTAGGACACTGGCTTGATAGCCTGCAGGTCGGGTTTTTGATCCCTGCATTGGCGAGAAAGTTCATCAGGAGGGAGAGAGAAATGTGGTTTAACGTCCACTCGACACAAACTAGGTCATTTCGGGACTAACATATGGTTTAATTTTATTTCAATAATTCGCTTGCGCGTAGGGGTCTTTAGCAGTGGGAGGAAACTGGAGGACCCGGAGAAAACCCACGAGGCTAGACAGCGACCCTACTCCTTGTCATGTACAACCGGGGATTCGAAACCACGCCAGTTGACTCAATGACAGGCCTTAGGATACAGCACGCACGTGCTAACCATTCGGCCATCCAAACCCCCCTTCATCAGGAGGTACTGTGTACACATTAACATGCACATAAAAGATCCCTTGGCAGTTTGAATTCAATATAACAGTGTTTATACTTGACAATTCTTGGGGACAAACAACTTCATTTTAAACACATTTGGATATGCACCTAAAAGCTAAAATTCCTCTATGATTATTACTAGCCTGCAATATTTTCTGGATTAGAACCTGATCTGCTGCTCAAATGGATAGTCGAGACTATGTTTTTTATCATACCGACGTTAGTAATGATGATCGAGACTAGGCCCAAAATTCAATCGCTAAATTCTCGGTTCAGAGTGGATCGATTTGACTGAAATTTTCAGCAAAATCCCTTTGCATTGTCTAGTTTTTAACTATTATAGCGAGAACTGCCAGTTCTTTATCTAATCTCCCATAATGTATCTTTAAGGAATAACAAGCAGGTGCCATGCAAGAAATCCTGGAAGTTACTGTCCGATATGTGTGAATATCTACAGGAACTGAGATCTTCAGGATATAAACATATATTTTAAGTTTCATATAAATTGGATAAAAATTATGACCTCTAGAGGGTCCACAACCTTGGTATTACATACTTTTACACTATTTGCATACAAGGAGTGGTCATTTTGTCGGGCAGTTGCATTCCGATTTTCAAGAAATCATTATGGTGTAACACCGATATGCTTTAACGGTTTTTAAAATTATGGTGTAACACCGATATGCTTTAACGGTTTTTAAAATCGGATAAAAATTGTGACCTCCACAAGCTAATTTTTTCGTACCATCAGGGGTCATAATCCAGGAAGTTGCAGTCCGGTATGTGTATAAACATGCATTTCACATTTCATCTAAATCGGGTAAAAATTGTGACCTCCAGATTGACCTCAAGCTAAAAACGTGATTTTTCGTACAATCATTGGCCATAATCCATGAAGTTCTGAGCCGATACATGCCAATATTGATAGGAACCAAGACTTTTTGGAAATAAACCTTTACTTCAAGTTTCATCAAAATCAGATAAGAATTGTAACCTGTAGAGTATCCACAAACAGACAGACAACGGCTACAACAATATACGTTTACATGAAAATGTGGGCGTATAAAAAGGGACCCGGAACTACTTGTCTACAATATCACCCTTGGTGGAATTGGACGTAAAATACCAGGAATGGACAAAAGAACATGAGAACATTATTCTCAACATCATTTACACTACAAAAACAGAATTGTATTTTGTGTGGACCTGTCATTGTACTGTCAAAGATAGGTTGCCAGACAACTAAACATATACTCACAGCAGCTAAATCTCCCGGGCAGTCAACAAGATTTGTTGCATATTTTTACTTTTGCCGGTAATGAAATATTTTATAATACACTAAAATCTGATTTAGAGTAACAGCTCATTAAATAATTTTCCGAAAATCATTAAAATTTGTTTGGCCCATGCTAACTTTTAATCATATTTAATATAATTGATTTAGCTGTTCAAGTTATTAAAAATCATTGAAAATCAATATACTTGTTCGTCTCAAGACCTTGTGTATCAATCTAAAGTCAATAGAAACGATTATATATAGGAGTAAACATGGTGTATAAATATAAAATCAATCAGATGATAACTATGGTCTCTAAATGCAAACACAAGATTTTTCAAAGTGATCAAGGGCCATAACTCTGACAGTAATTATCAGAAATTGTTGAAGATCAATAGGTTTCTTCGCTTCATGACTTTAAACAATGTGTATAAATCTAATGTCAATCGGACATTAACTTTAGCCTCTAGAGCGTCCACAAGATTTTTCAGTGATCAAGGGCCATAATTCTGGCAGTAATTATCGGAAATCGGTGAAAATGAATAGGCTTCTTCATATCATGACCTTAAACACTGTGCATAAATTTAAAGTCAGTCTGATATTAACTTTAGCCTCAAGAGCATCCACAAAATTTTTCAAAGTGATCAATGGCAGTAATTATCGGAAATCAGTGAAAATCAATAGGTTTCTTCGTGTCATGACCTTAAACACTGTGTATAAATTTAGCCTCTGGAGTGTCACAAGCAATTGTGGATTCCAGACGGACAGTCAGACAGGGGCAACGACAATATACAACTACATTTTAATGTGGGCGTATAAAAAGGCAATTCATTTTGTTCGACTCATAAAAGTGAAGTGTTGATAGTATGTTAAAAAAATAAATTCCATTCATGATCATAACAGTATCAAGGGAGACTACTACATTTTTACATCTTGCCAGTTATCTTATTTAGATAATTGACACTCAGTGAAACACTGTATATCTGCAATGTAATACTGTTTTTGTATCATAACCTTTTCATATAGTAATTCTACTACTACCATTAGAGTTGTTATGCTTTTATGTCTATGGTAATCAATCGGACTTCATGATGAAAAAAAAACCATGTCCATTTCCATTTCAATTTCTGCAATATCAACTTATTTCAGCCAACAAATTTTTACTTGCCTGTTCTCTAGGACCATTGTTTTGTCTAATAAAATAAGACTGTTCCACCCGAAATTTATACATGATGATAAAATAAATCCATAATTTAAGTCCGAAAGTTTTTATTTTTTTTATTTTTAACATAAAAGAGTGGGATCAAGGACTCAACTTCAGTTGCTGAGCATTTGAAACATGGTCCAAAATATATTAATAACTTTTCTAAAAAAATGTTCACATTTGCCTGTTCTTGGGACCTAGATACTTAATCTCATTTCAACACATTTGCAAAGTTACCTCATTGCCAAATATTGAAATCAAATGAGTGGTAAGTCTTGATGAGTCATTTTAGCTAAATGAAATGAAATGGGGTTTAACTTCCTACTGTTCTGCTCCGAACTGGGCTAATGAAGACGGGCATACGCCATGCAGTGTGCTATGACGGAAATTTTGCCAGAACAGCGGCACTATGGCCTACTCTTATATTGAATTCCAACTGTCAAGGGATCTCTTACGTGCACGCCAATGTGTACATGGGACCTCGGTTTTTCGTCCCATCTGAACGGCTAGACAGCTGCAGGCCCTCCGTCCTGCATTACTAACAAGGGGAAACCATGCCGGAAAATCTGGATGAACTTTCTCGGTCAATGCAGGGATCGAATCATTTGCAAACTACAATACTGTGCAAGATAAATCTTTAATAGGAATATCAGTCCAAAAATAATTCAATTCTGTTGAACTATGCTGTACGCTACGTAATAAGCCTGCCTTCATTTTACTTTCCATGAAATTCAAGCCGGGACATTATCCAGCATTGGTATTCTGATTTTGTTTTCTTAATTAAATGTTAAATAATCAATCTGAGTACATATTAGCGCGGATTGAACGTGAACATTTTTATATTTTAGCGAAATATAGTTTTACTGTAACTGACTGATATTCAAAACCCAAATCTACCAAATTTATCTTCCAAACAATATAACACATTATAACAAATAATTTTACGTGAAAGATGAATCATTTACACACAGTTCAATGTTAAAAGAAAACTTTTGATATAGTAGGATTATTTTGATTTTTGGAATCTATTTTAATGACGACAAATATTAGAGAGCTAAAACATGGATATGAAAGAAGACAAAATATTTGAACCTTGTGACCCAAACCATCTCTGTGCATGTCTTAGCTATAGAAAAAATAGACTGAATATTACCTTCAAGCAACTTGCCCCAAAATGATCAACTTCATTTGTATAATAATTATCGTGTACAAACACCACCAAAGCAAAATTCTTACCAAATTTGCTTGAATCCACTAAGCACTTTGAAGAAGTCGAAAATGTTCCCCTTTAATGTAATCATTTTCTATATGATTAAACACTTCGTCACTTTGGCTGCACATTCTTTTTTTAGTATTCAATGGTGAATTGATATCCCTGTGTGTGTGAACTGCTTTATTTAATGTTGGTTTCCACCTTAGGTGCTATAGCAGACATGGCATATCCTTTTACAGTCCTACTCACAAATCAGATATGTTTCTGTACTAAATTTGAATTTCAGAAATATCTCTACTGCTGTCAATGTAATCGGAATGCATGCAACACATCCCTGCTACTGTAACCATAATTATATAACACATGGTCATAGAACATTATCAAAATCAGACATTCTTTGATTATGTCAGAGGGTTGAAATTTGTATAAACAAAAGTTGGGGAAATGGTATCAAATATTGTAATTAAATGGCAATAATTAACAACTGTTGATGACAAGTCACTATTAACATAAGATGGTCCTTATTATCTCCTATCTGGCTGGATTTTGCCACAACCTGGGTTCCTTGTAGAAATGCATTTCTATATCAATCAACACACTCTTGCTTGTCAGCTGGTCTATTTTATGACAGATACTTCCAGTATCAAAATAAACAAGAATCTGGCTACTTTTACTTTTAGTATCAATTTTAGAAAAAAAAGATTCAACATGATTTTTATATGTTTTATTTCATCTGAGTTTTCGAAAAATGAAAACATAACCAAGAAAGGTCCATTTATGACTAGATGTAGTTTTACAAGTTTTTCAAAAGAAAACAAATTGTTTCAATCTAACCTTATTAAGATTAAATTTATCATTTTACAAAATATTGCTTAAATGTATGTAATATACATTTTGAATGAAATGGGACTATGTACAAATTATGTAACAGAGGAGAGAAAAAAAAAGAGAACAAAATAGCTGTAAACACAAGAAGATAAATATTGTAACAAACAAATAATTTTTAAATGCAATTTGGTATAGTTTTTGTTTGTTTGCCTTCTTCAAATTACTTGTACGAAACACATATATGGTATCTAACGATAAGCTCTTCAAAAATGATACCCTATACATGTACATTTCATAATAACCTTTATCATCATTCTAAACTTAAAATCAACATCATGATTCATAGTATTCATACATAATAAAATACACACTTTAGCACTGACAGTCTCTACAAAGACTAATTCTTTGTACGGGTAATTAAATACTTAGACACCGACTCTGAAAGTTTAATAAGACATTTAAATTGTGTTTTTTAATGTTACCAAATCTTAAATACCACCTGCATAATATCAAAAAGGAAGTTACACGGGTTTAATATATTGCCAAGAACCTACGGTGTACTGTGGTAGATTACTAACCACTATTTGTGTAAATGGTCCCAAATTCTAATACAGACTTTGATATATGTGAGATGATTAAACACTACACATGTACACGTATGTTTTTCCCATAATTTTTGAAAAGTAAGTTTACATGTATTTTATACATTTAGGAGCCAAGAGGTAAGAAAATAGGAAGTAAGTGACATGTAGTAGTAGGGCCTACCATCTAAATGATCTACAAAATAAGGATACATCATTCTATATCATTTGTTCAAATTTTAAAAAAGCATTTTACATTATATATCATGTCAGCAGAAATGACTATTTAACATATGGAAAACAATAACAAACAGAAATGCAATTTAGGTAATTTGAAGTTGCATCAAGCAATTACCATTAAATAAGTATTTTATATTATTATGAGATTTTTTCCAAATTCATTAAGAAAAATCTACAATTTAATTGATTATCATTATATACAAGAGATTTTGTTTATAACAATTACTTAATTTTATTGACATAACAATTATACATGTACTTACAGAAATGTTTTTATACAAAATAATTTGACTGTAGTCAAGCATCTTTCTAGAGTTATCCCCCCTTATATTAGTTTGACAATCAATCATAATTTTCTACTGTAAATAAATTTTTGTTTCTGTAGTTCTTTTTTTCTATTAACACACAGAATGTGTGAAAAAAAAGAAGAAATAAATTAAATTCATTGCTGGAATAATAGACTTTTAAAATGGTGTTCAATATTGTCTCAATGGGTGAACCAGGCATTGCCAGATTTACAATTTCAAAGTCTTGATCTCTGTATCTGAATATATGAGCTTAGAGGTTAACCTTCTTTTGATTAGAACTATAAATTTATAGTCATTAGCTTAATTTTTATAAGTAAACAGCCAGGAATTAAATAGTTTATAAATCAATCAATATAACTGACAATATAAAACATACAATCATAATAAATATTAATCATATCGCTAACTAAATTATAAGAATATGAATATTTCAGATTGCACTTATTTGAGATAATTTATCATGATACATCTTGACTTTTCTGTATTTCCTAATATCATTGATAAATTATGCATTAAACCCCATTATTGGTAACATTAATCATAATTATATAATTATTTTCCATAATAAAACCGGGACCTATTTAGTAATTCATTTAAGAAAAAAACATGGTATGTTTCGACTAATATTAGGATATATTATTATGCTTATAAATTTATTATGATATGAAATTTTATTATCCAAATTATAAATACTGAATAATCTGTTATTTCTTTAGTTCTCAGACACCATCACTTGAGATATCACCTGCTTGGGAGTTATTTTGATTGTTCCATTTACGATAGATGTTTATACTACAACAGCCGGTTGTACTCATAAAAATGGTGTGCGGGAAGATGGTTATTCACAACAGAAAGCCCTGATAGTAAAAATAGTAGTTTACCACAATCACCAAAATATGCCCATGTGCACCTAAGGCTGGTCTTTGGCCAAATAAACCTATTAGAACCCATGGGACCCAGTATTTACCAGGAGGGGGCCCTAGACTTTACATAATGGAAAGCAACATCAATTTCTTTATTAAAAATTTAGTTTTGTTTAGACATATTTGATGTCAATGTCAAAATATAATGCATAATTTGAAATAATTTAAAGTCAAGGAGGTCAGACCATAACAGTCCCAATAGTAATGACCTATAACATAATCATATAACTCTGAGTGGAACAAGAGCGAAACAAGCTGCTTTTAAAAGTGATAAGTGCACACCTGACTAAAGAGAGTGTCTATAAAAAATTTGCAGAAAGGTGTCGACAAAACCCTAACTTTTACATGAATACCAAAAATACTGTAGGCCCTTCTGGTAATCATAGAACTTATATTAAAATAAATCACCGTAAATGTTTAGCAAACAAATGAGCTGGAAAAGTATCTTATGGATGCAAAAATATGAAAACTATACATCCCTGATATATAAATAATATACAAAGTTGAACACAAACTTAAATGCAACTTAAGATGTTCTTCAAAGATGTTACACAGAATTAGGGACTATCAAATGTATTATGTTATCTATATTTTCTTTTTAAGTTCTCTAAAGCAACTTGATTCTTTTATCTTTATCTTCTGAGATTATGCATGTAGGCGGCTTAGAGACATTCAAATTTTCCAGAGTTTTGATCTATATACGTGTATCATAACAAATTGTATAAATATGTATAAGAAGGGATAAACTCTTGAAATTATTGTAATAATAATTATTTATCCATAGCACTTTATAATAACATTCCTTACTTGACACATTTTTAGGGTGCCCCCTGCAGCGAAAATTTTCCCTACAGAAAGTTTAACTCAACACAACAAATGTGCACACTTCAGTGGCTCGTCTCAAAGTGATTCCTGGCTAATCACGCAGTGCGATTTACACTCAGCGCTGGAGTCTATGAGTCTATAGATAGCCATCGCACATGAAATTCTCTACACATCTTTCAAATGTTACAGCAGTAATATTTAGCTTTTTGGTTATTACAGCAGCTTTAGAAATTATGTTCGTTTTATTTTTTAAATTGCTTTATCATTAACTATACCATTAGGAGAGGCATCTTTTGGTTAAGTACAAATAATATCTCTGAAACACTCGTGTTAGGCAAGAATATGATACTAGCAGTAGTTTTAATTTTACAAGGTTCTTAAAACAATTGTTGAGTTGCCTAACGTGCATGTTTCTAAATTCTGTTATGTTTCGTAAAAAAAGTAGTCTTGATTATCCCGGCCTGTCAATCAGACATAGAATGGTCGGTAGACTGGTCAAGCGAGACTAATTTCAAAACAAGAGCATGTAGCCTATTTTTTACTCAGAAGTGCCTGGATGTTATGGCCGACACTTGTAACCATTTTTCAGTCTATTATTTATGGATGGTTAAATGGTCATAGCTTATTAAGTACAACATGACCGTTTATTTAGTGACTATAAATGTGCGAAACTGATTTAAGGCTTGGTATATAAATAAAAATATTGTGGTGTAATTGTTGAGATATTTGGAGATATTTATATATGGTGGGGCACCCTAACATTATACAAGATTTCCCCACAAAACCATTTTTGTAAGATTGTTCTATAATGAATAATGCATAAATAGATAGTTATTTGAATTATGCCACAGCATGTTAAGGTACACACTCCAAATATTATACATATATTCAAACATCCAAGACTAAATGTCAAAAATATGGAATAGATATATATCATTGCGAATAACATTAATTCCAGACATAGAATATGTATGATTGCACTATGACACACACCTTTCTAGTTTTATGTTTAATACATGAACCCAGGTCAAGACCAAGGGAATCGTCTGTTAATCATTTTAAAAAGTCGTTCGTTGTGAGGTCGGAAAAATTTGTTGAATTTTGTTATGAGATTTGGATCAATGTCAGGATGGCGCCTGCCTTTACTGGCACCTAAACATCTTTCCATTGTGGAATTCACACGCATACAATAAAATCCACGTGTTGTATTAAAATACAGTTTGTCATATGTTATTTCATGTGCTAATCCAAGGAATTTCTCTATTTTTCGTATCTCTGATACTGGATCAATGATTAGATTGTCACCATCCACAATATGAATTTGATTCTTTGGGAATATCTTTAGCCACCGAGCAAAGTTATGATGATATATGCTGATTTGTAAAGCTTTATATCTCATGTTTAATTCACCAGTGTCTGGATCCAGTGCCATAGTTTCGAATCTATCTGGTGTTTCATTCTTCATTAACTTATTATAATATATTTGAGTGTAGTCTGATATTACGCGTATAGTTGGATGACGCAATGAAACAATTATTTTCATATCACTATTAAGTCGTTTAATCCTATATGGTACACCATGTGATATAAAATAACGTGGTGTTTTTTCAATAGTTATTTGGCCTGGCAACGAATAAGGCATATTTTTACGGTACCATTCTAATCCTTGATTATAATTTTTGTCATCATCAAAGAAATGAACTTCATGATACGTTGACTGAATGCCGCTATGAAGATCCAAGAATTCCAAAAGAGCTCGGGTTCCACATTTCCTCACTCCAATAATCACACATTTTGGAAACTGTTTTATTGCTCCGATTGGATGTGATTTGTCTATTATTTTTCCATTTTCTTCCAATAACTTCCGGAATCCACTTCCAGCAATTACATTATTGATAGGCTTAGCTCCTATACTCAATGTTTCCCATAATGACTGATTACAATAGAATAATATACCAAAGAAAAACGTTAACGGGACCAAGCACCTCCAACGCTGGCCACGCTTCATAATTGTTAAGGATTCTTCTGGATTTTGTGCTTTATCATTGCTCTGTCTGCTTTTTTCTGACCTTGCTTGAGTATGATCACACTGTTTGTTAGCAGGGAATGAATACATCACTGACTTCCTTCATCTGAAAAATACAGATTAAAAATTAATAATGAATTTAAATTAATACATGATCAACTATGTAGTTGTGCTAATTTGAACAAAACTTGAAAAATCTGAGAAACGACTGATCAACATATTAGAAAATGGAGAAGTTATCTTTGAAGTTTCACAATTTCATTTACAGTACATTCCATAATGTTAGCATGAGCAACATTTCTCTGGGTTGTTGAAAGGTTTTTTGAACAAAAGCAAAATGGATTCAAATATGAAAACCATATCTGTATGATAACACATAACCAGCCAGTGTTTCAATTCTATGAGCTTCTGCAGACATTAGCTTCACAGAAATGATCTTTCATGGTGCTGGTACATGTTTTACAAATAAAAAGTATTATTTAATAATTCCCAAATCCCCATGTATGATATAAAGTATAATTCTAACAATTCCAACACTTTATAGGAATATGTAAACATCATAAACATTAAATACATATAATTCAATAGTTACAATACTGAACACATAGATGTATTTTGGAAAAACTGAACACTTCAATGTATGACATGATATTTCTTACCGATAACTATATTTACTTATTAACTATTTTTGAAGTGTTTATCTAAAGATTAGACAATGTGTGTGACCATCTTAAGATTGTTTAAATATCTACTGTAGATCAGAAGGTACCAAATAATTCTAGTGCTTTAATCTACATGTGCTATGCTCATCTGAATATCGGAAATAAATGTTATGTCACAGGACAAATATCATCGTACATAATGCCCACAAACAAAATGGCACAGGGAAGTTTGTCACAATATGCCACAAAAACACTAACAAATTTGTTAGTTACTACTCACATAGATTATTTTAATTCTGCTGAAAAACTTCAAAAGTTACAAAATTCGGCTGCTGCCTTATTTCTAGAACATCATACAGGGATCATATCAATCTGATTAAAATACAGATATATATTTCCTTTTATTTTTGTTATACTTTTGATGGCCCACACTACATGAGATCTGACCAGTTGTACTGGAAGTTTGGGGCTTTTGACCCTATGACATCAGACATTGATTAATCAATCAGCGTTGACGTTTCTAGTGGTTTACCCACAGTTCTGTGCATCGCATGCCAGTAACTTGCCATAACAGACCGTTTCATTGGCTAATCCCTCACTTTAATCAGAACGCCAGTAATATAACAACCTATAAGCAATCACTGATCAAGTCCATGACAGCAGATTTATCTAAGAATTATTTCGATGCACTAAGAAAATGAAAAACATTTCCAGTTTGGGTCCAATGGTTAACATCAAAAGTCATCAAGTGTAGCTTTAACATATATTTCAATACCAAAGTAGATTCTTCAAAGGAATGTGAGAAATCAAACCAAATCCACTCTAGTTCATATAAATAATTTATATCATAAGTAATAACAGCTTATTACACAGTAAGATTCTCTATGTTTCAACCTCAAATAAATAATCCATTCAAAATCCATTACAAACCAAATCAACTAATATGCAGGTGAAAACTAATGGTTTCAAATCGTGAATTTAGTCACTCAAATTTGTTATGTGTTGATAACAAAGCTTAATCATTGATAATGAATTATATTTAGTGTGGAAAGCATTTCATTTTTCTGTAACAAAAAGATATTATGCTTTTAAGAATTTTTTATTTTTACTTCCGAATTCCACAAAGAGCAGTTCTATTTTATGATGTGAATCAAGAATTATATCTACCTCAACAGATTTATACATATATTAGAGACTTGTAGTTGGTATGCATACACACTGCTATTAAAGCACTATATATCTACAAATACACACATTTTATACATACACATACTCACTGGTTTCACAGATAAACTATATATTTCAAGGTGTATAACATGTTCTGATATCATACCCAGTATGAGATAACATGTTCCACATCATAAACTGGTCATTATAGTGTAATTAACTAGTGGTCATTGTGCTGGTCAGTCAACATGACAGGTGCCCTCCTTCAGAGATGTATTGATGTGTAATAAACAATCCTTGTCAATCATCAATACCTTTGAGTATACTTTTGATCAATACAGGATAGATATCTGTTATCATCTTGTAATCAATAATAACAGATATAAACCACTTAGTAAACTAATTAAATAATTTATTAAGACTGAATGACTTCAATTATTTATGATCAACAGAAGAACAAAGGCTTGTCACCAGATGTTTTATTTATCAATTTGTTGTTTAACCTGTGGGCGGAAGCCTCCTAAAATAAACTTAATAGAGCTGGATGTCAACAAACACTTGTAAATATCCATAGATAAAACATTACACTATGTAATGGATGACATCAGTTTTCATTTACAAATTTAAATTTGGATAATTTGGATCAGTTATTATAATGTTTGCAACAAAGGAAATCAGAATGTGCATTGTGTTTCATCTGAAATTCTATATTTAAGCGAGACAGAAAAATTAAATTATCACATTCATTTGGGGACTAATATGGTATATTTTTATTTCAATAACTCTCTTCTAAGTAGGAGGAAACTGGAGTACCAAAAGACAGCCCATGCGGTTGGGAAAACAACCTAACTCTTTTGCCACATACAAACGGTGCACACATTATACCTTTAGGTCACCCAAACCCAACCTATATCTAAGCTGTAGAATCTTTAACATTTTTGGCACTGTTCTCCTAACCTCTCAAAATTCAATGGTTTGAGTCAGTTCAAAAATTTAACCTCAAGGCAGTAGTATTTTTTAAATAAATATTTCTATTGCAATACTTGTTAAACCAGCTCCAATCTCAATTTGCAAATTGTAGATTCAGTGTTAAATAATTGAAATAAGACAAAGCTCAGTAATTTGGTACATTTAAAATGACAAAAGATAGGTTGCCAGGCAACGAAACATACGCCCACAGCAGCTAAATCGTCCGGGCAGTCAACAAGTGTTGTCGCATATTTTTACTTCTTTCGGTAATGAAACATTTTTAATACACTCATGAAGTAATTATCAGAAAACCATTAGAATTTGTTTGGTTTTTAATATCATGGATATAGCTGTCAAGTCATAAAAATTCATTGAAAATCAATATACTTGTTCGTCTCAAGCTCTGAAACTCTGTGTATCAATCTGAAGACAATCGGATGATAACTTTAGCCCCTAGAGCGTCTCAAGATTTTTAAAAGTGATCAAGGGCCATAACTGTGACAGTAATTATCGAAAATCACTGAAAATGAATAGACTTCTTTGTCTCATGACCTTAAACACTGTGTATTGACTTTGGCCTCTAGAGCGTCCACAAGATTTTTCAAAGTGATTAAGGGCCATAACTCTGGCAGTAAATATCGAAAATCACTGAAAATGAATAGACTTCATCTCATGACCCTAAACACTGTGTATAAATTTAAAGTCAATCCGGTATTAACTTAAGCCTTTAGAGTGTCCAAAAGATTTTTCAAAGTGATCAAGGGCCATCACTCTGGCAGTACTTATCGTAAATCGTTGAAAATCAATAGGCTGCTTCGTCTCATGACCTTAAGCACTGTGTATAAATTTAAAGTCAATCGGATATTAACTTTGGCCTCTAGAGTGTCCACAAGATTTTTTGAAGTGATCAAGGGCTATAACTCTGGCAGTAATTATTAGAAATCGCTGAAAATCAATAGGCTTCTTCGTCTCATGACCTTAAACACTGTGTATAAATTCAACGTCAATTGGATATTAACTTTGACCTCTAGAGTGTCCACAAGATTTTTTGAAGTGATCAAGGGCCATAACTCTGGCAGTAATTATCGGAAATCGCTGAAAATCAATAGGCTTCTTCGCTTCATGACCTTAAACACTGTGTATAAATTTAAAGTCAATCGAATATTAACTATAGCCTCTAGAGCGTCCACAAGATTTTTTGAAGTGATCAAGGGCCATAACTCTGGCAGTAATTATCAGAAATCGCTGAAAATCAATAGGCTTCTTCGTTTAATGGCCTTAAACACTGTATATAAATTCAAAGTCAATCGGATATTAACTTTAGCCTCTAGAGCGTCCACAAGCAATTGTGGACGCCGGACCGACGGACGGGGGCGACGACAATATTTGACCACATTTCAATGTGGGCGTATAAAAATGACAAATTTAAATGCTATTGCACAGTATCACATCTGCCATAACAAAGTCTTTTCCTGCAAATTCAGTTTTATGCTCAATGACGTGACAGTAAAAAAAATTATCTAACATTTTTATAGATTAAATTAATGTCAGACTGTTCAGAAGCATTTCCTTTGCCTTTATTAACAACATTTCTAATTTGAAACAATTGATTTTGCGGAGACAAAGCTCCATACCACTCTCTTCTTTCTTCTATTTCTGCAATTCATGCAGTTTGGTAACAAAAGCATTAACTGATGTGACATTTTATACAACTGAAGACGTTCAGACCATAGGAGGAATCGACAAAACCATTGAAATAATACAATGAAGAATTAATACCAATCGACCAAGATCTTTTAATGATCCAGCAAATTCATCAATAAAGCATTATGCAAATTCACTACAGAATGTAATGACGGCTATGAATGAAAATGTCTACTGCCACTACCATTTTAATTTGATATTAATAGTCATTTGATTCAATGTAACACCATAGTACAAAGGAACTACCTATGTATTCTAAGCATTTCATTACATAATAGATACCACAGAGGTGCTGATATTTTTCTCCGAACAAGGATATAGACTGACTATTAATTTCAAGAGCTCAAATTTGAACAGTATGTCCAGCCAATAATATCCATTGAAAATTCTACAAATCTTGCCTTTTAAATTGCATTTGAATTGAAGACTGGTTTATGTAAGCTAGTTTTGCTATTAATACTGGTAGTGGAGCGTAAAATTTAGCTTAACTGTGTCAATTAAATATAAATAAAAAGCCTTAGGAGATACGAAGTTAAATTTAGAACAAAGAACTCTTCATGTTCACTATTTTTTTTATTGATTTGATGAATTATTGCATATTTTT